CGGGCCACGGCGGCCGGCCGCTCGCCCCCGCCGCGGGCGCTCATTCGATGCGCACCTGCAGGCGGACATTGAACATCACCGAGGCCACCACGTAGAAGTAGGGGAAGTTCATGCGCAGCCGCCAGGCCAGGTCGAAGAAGGTGAGCAGCGTGCGCGTGAGTCCCTTGCAGAAGGCGCTGTACGAGCCTCGGACCGCGGCGGAGCGCGACAGCCGCACCGCCAGGCCGGACAGGGCCGCCGCCGCCGCCGCCACCGACAGAGCCGCCGACGCCGCCATGGGCCCCGGGCCGCAGCACACCCGGCCGACCCGGTACCTGCGAGAGCGCGCGAGGCTTGTGGGCGGCTGGAGTGGAGGCTCCGTGGAGACCCTCGGCCTTTAGAGCCCCGCCCCCGGCTCTCCCCGCCCTCTCGGCTCTCCCCGCCCCCGAGCCGCCTCTGCCCCTCCTCCCGCTAGAGGACCGCACAGCCAACCCGCCCCCATCCGTCCCCAGCTCCTCCCGCTATGCTCCCTCAGCAAACTCCCGCCCCAATGGGAGCCCCGCCCCTCGGCCGTGGCTGCTGCAGAGACTGCTTCGCGCAGGCTCAGTTTGCTACTCTCGCCCAGTCCACAGGCCACGCTTATTTGCATAGACGCCCCTGTGACTGGCCTTCGGGAGCCCCGCCCGCTTGCTTTCGGAGGTGATTTCCCCTCCCCCCCCCACCCCACCGCTCTCCAGTCACCCCGTCCGGAGTATCTAAGGCCACAGGGCTCTACCCCCAGTCATAGCCTCCCTCACACTGTAAATTCCAGCCCCTACCAAAACCCCGCCTCAGTCCTGGCTGCAGCGAGGTTGCTGTCGCGCAGGCTCAGCTTACTAGCCTCCCGCTGCCCAAGGGTCACTGCTTATTTGCATAATCCCTCCCAATTAACATAACACTCCTGGAAACCCAGCATCTTTTGCCGGCCCATCCCATTTGTTCAGCCTCTTCTCATCCTTTTGGGATACCTAGTGTACCTAGTGAGGAGCTCTTCTCCTTGATAGCCCCCTATCCGCCCACCAGCAGGCCTGCCTCAGTATATTTTCCCTGCCTAATGGTCACTCTGCATACCGCCACCCACGTGACCTGCTCCCCACCACAAAGCTTAGCTTCTCTAGCTTGTTCAGCCAAGCCTTTTCCTGGCTGCATACATAGTCTGAGACCCTGAATGGACTGAAAGTATCTATCTCCAAAGATCACTGTGACAGATTCCTTGAGTCTGAATAGGCAATGGCTGGCTAGCGTGAAGGCTATGCTGGTTCTGGAAGAAATCACCTTCAGAAGCCCCTCCCGTGCACAGCTCCATCCTTTACTCAAGTTCTCACCAGAGAGCCTGATCAACCGACCCCTTGTGTCTTCCTTTAATTTGAATAGTTTATATCATGCAATGACAACATCCATATGCATGAATTTTCTTTTCTGGTGTATTTGCCTGTCGCATATATCCCTTACTGATTAATTTTTCCATTATCCTTCCGTGTCTAAGTGCTCTTCTTTACCAATTTACTTGCCTTGGTTACTGAACGTCATCTTAGATTTACATTTGCCTTTGTTTATAGATCATATTATGCTTCTTATAATCCATTCCTCCCAAAAACTATATGCAAATTTTATTTATTAATTTATTTTTTGTCGGTTGTGGGGCTTGAACTCTGGGCTTGGGCGCTGTCCCTGCACTCTTCAGCTCAAGGAGAGCACTCTACCACTTGAGCTACAGCCTCTTCTGGTTTTCTACTGGTTTTTATTGGAGATAAGAGTCTCATGGACTTTCCTGCTTGGGCTGGCTTTGAACCATGATCCTCAGATCTCAGCCTCCTGTGTAGCTAGGATTACATGCGTAAGCCACTGGCACCCAGCTACTATGTAATTTTATAATGGCAATATCTTTTAAAAACAACACTGAAGCACCAAGTCTCAGAAAGGATCATTTTATCCATCTACTTTTTATCCTCCATGAGCAACTTATTGTAACTATGTTCCTAAAACATTTATACCTCATAGATTTCCAGTTGGTGCTAGAATGATTGAGAAACAGGCAATTTATTGATTCTCCACAAACTCACTGGCTGAATTAAACTCCCAGGCTTAGCTACTCAGGAGGCTGAGATCTAAGCACCTATTTCAAAACCAACGCAGGCAGGAAAGTCCCTGAGACCTTAATCTCTAACATCACCGAACAGAAAGAAATGGAGCTGTGTCTCAAGTTGTAGAGTGCTGTCCTTGAGCAAACAAGCTCAGAGATAGCACCCAGACCCTGAGTTCAAGCCCCAAGACCATTAAAAAAAATAAAAGGCTTCATTTGTATCTGGAAGGCAACTTTGGAAATAACTCCCTTCCCTGAGGAGATATTTTCACAAAGGAGGTTTGAGGAGGTCTGGGGAGTGAACTTTCAGACTCTACACTTCAGAAACTAGAATCAGGCAAATGCTTCCACCTTCTTTCACCATAGGACAACTCTTATGGTGCAGAATGACGAGCTGGCCAGGGCTTCCTGGAGAAAAACATCGGCAGTGTTGCATAGTGAGTATGTGGAAACAAGAAAGAGCTATAATGTAGAGGGTCCAAGTGCAAATAAAAAAGCCTTGGAGTTTAGCAGCTACTTATAATTGGCACTCCTTTAGGGAATACTATGTCATTATCTATTGTTGTGCTTGGTAAGTCTGTGCCCTTCTCATGGAAGTGTTGCACAGCCTGAATCAAATCAGAGGTGCTTGGATCTACATACAAAAAATATATCAAAAGCCACCAAAGATCCCAGTAGTGACCCAACCCAAATACCCTACATAATGGTGCATTACCTGGCCACTGTTGAGAGATCTCTTTGTTGGCTCATGTCAAAATCATCTCTCAGAACTACTATGGTTGCTGTGTTGTACCACAGCCCCAGGTCATGAGCAGACCTGGTAGCCAGATTGTGTTTTGAGATCCAATTTAGATGTGAAAATTTTATTTTTCTTTTTTTTGGGTGGGGGGTCCGGTCGTGGGGCCTGAACTCTGGGCCTGGGTGCTGTCCCTCAGCTCTTCAGCTCAAGGCTAGCGTTCTACCACTTCAGTCACAGCACCACTTCTGGCTTTTTTTCTTTTTGTTTATGTGGTGCTGAGGAATCGAACCCAGGGCCTCATGCATGCAAGACAAGTGCTCTACCACTGAGCCACCTTCCCAGCCCCGTGAAAATTTTATTTTTTTATATCTATATTATCATTAATACTGAACAGAGCCCTTGCTTAGAGATGCCAGGATGGAGTGGGTGTAGGACATAAGACTGGTGCTTGAGGGAAAAAAAGGATACAGAGGCACTGAGACATGGAAGATGGCAATCTTGGAGCTAGGCCTTGGAGCCCATCTACATACTCAAGGCAGTTTGCTGCTGTATTTTGTGAGTCAGGCGCTGGCCTTCCAGAAAAGTCCCACAGAGCAGAACCTATAGGTAGAAAATGTACAGCAAGATCCAATTGGCGGGAATTTGAAGCTGGCCTTCCAATCTCACCTCCCCTCACAGCCTGCCACGTGGCAGCAAGACTTGTGAAGTCCCGCCTACTCACGTGATGGTTCTCATTGGTCATCACTAACGAAACCGTGCCCCATTGGCTGAAAGACATGGACAGGCACTGCCAAGCACCACTAGGGAAGGGTTCTGTTCCGCTTGTTCGTTAACTGGCTCATTCACTTGGCCTCAAGTAGGCAGTGCGGGCACAGAGGGGACGAGGTGTGGACTCACAGGAGCACTCGCCTCTGTTACTGTGAGGCAGAGACCAACAGAAGCTTCTTTCACATCAGAGGCTCTTGGGGCTCAGGCCTCACCCACCACAGGAACATGCATCGTTTTTTTTCCAAAGCTCTCCGTTTCTTTGGAAAGCGGACCGTGTCCGAGGAGGAAAAGGAGCAGCACCAGTGTCTCCTGGAAGGTACCTCACGGAGGGACGGGCCCATTGGGGTGCTTCCCATACACCTGGTCTAGGGCCTCGGGGACTGTGTAGGCTTCTCAGCACCCAGAGAAATGCCATCTTATAACGTTAGCATCTCTGACTTCTTGAATCTGTTGCCTCCAACCCAAATAACTCCATTCCTGCCTCTTTGTCCCCACCCCCCCGTCCTCACTCCGGCCTACTACTTTCTCACCTTCCATGTTCAGATGTCCCTCTGGCCTCCTACTTTCTAACCCTCCATATTCAGATGTCCTTCATCCGCGTTCGCTACCTAATTTCCTACTGCCACTCCCACAACCCCCATCTTGCAACCATCCAACAACATGCCCCCACTCCTCTTGTCTGAAGTGCTGGACCAATTTACACATAACCCTAACACTTCAAAGTGGTGCTAATGTAGTGAAAAAGGTCTTTGTGCTGGGTATAGTGGGAAACGTGAGTAATCTAAGCACTGGGGAGGTGGAGGAGGCACGTAGATCTGGATTTAGTGACTTGGGTTGCATGTGAAGACAATCATTTTTTGTGTGGGGGGTGATTTTTTTATTGTTAAAGTGAAATACAGAGGGGTTACAGTTACATAAGTAAGGTAATAAATACATTTCTTGTCAAAGTTGTTACCCTTTCCCTCATTTTTCTCCTACTTTCCCCTCCCCCCAACCCCAGAAGACATTTTTGTTGTTGGTGCTGGTGGTCATTGGGCATAAACTCGACTGAGCTATTGGTTCAAGGCTAGCACTCTACCACTTGAACCACAACCCCACGTCCCGTTTTCTGGTGGTTAATAGCCAATAAGAGTCACAAGGACTTTTTTTTACCTGGGCCAGGCTTCATACCATCATCCTCAGATCTCAGCCTCCTGAGTAGTTAGGATTACAGGCGTGAGCCATCAGTGCCCAACCAAGGCAATCTTTAAAAAGAAAAACAAACAGTTTCTGCTGGGGCTGTCTTCCCTCTCCCCCAACTTCTCCAGATACCTTTGAACATTTTTTGTATAGATGCCAAGTGAATGGGCATGATTCCTAGTTTTGTTGGGTTTTGTTTATTGTGCTGCGCTTCCCTCTTTCCTTATTTATTTATTTATTTTGGTCAGTCGTGGGGCCTGAACTCTGGGCCTAGGTGCTGTTCCTGAGCTGTTTAGCTCAAAGCTAGTGCAATACCACTTGAGCCACACTGCCACTTTCAGCTTTTTCTGCTTATGTGATGCTGAGGAATAGAACTCAGAGCCTCATGCATGCAAGGCAAGCACTCTACCATTGAGCCACCTTCCCAGCCCTTTATTTTTCTTTTCTTCCACCTACCTATTTTAACAAGTCCATTTATGTATAGAATACTTCTTCCTAATAATCTCTTTATCATTGCACTCATGATCCTGTACCTCAGTAGCCTAAGTGCTATGATTATAGGAAACTTTCTTTATATACTTACAACAATATTGGATCTGCATATATGAGGGTGAATTATTTTTGTCGTATAGGGCTTGAACTTAGTGCCTGGGTGCTGTCCCTGAGCTGTTTTTTGCTGAAGCTCTACTACTTTGAACCACAGCTCCCCATCAAGTATTTTAGTGGTGATTTGGAAATGACAGACTCAAGGATTTTCCTGCCCAGGCTGATTTTGAGCCATAATCCTCAGATCTCAGTCTCCTGCATAGCTAGAATTACGGGTGTGAACTACCAGTCCCTGGTATAAATTTTATTTTCTTTCCTAAGAGGGCATGTATATTTATCTGTGACAGTCTTCTCTCTGTCATTATGATGAAATATCTGAGATCAATCAACTGTAAAGAGGTAGTGATTATCTTGCCTTGTGGGTTCTGAAGGTTTACATAGAGAAGGTGATTTGTCTCTGTGGCTTGTGGTAGGAAGCATGTGCTAGAGCATATGTGCTCACCTCATGGCAGCCAGGAAGCAGAGGGAAAATTGCTTTTAGAAACAGTACATCCAGTAATCTCTGAATGCCTAAATGACTTAATACGTTATTGAAATCAGAACCATTATTTAATTTAATTTATTTAATTTTCTCCCAAAGCCCCAACTCTGAACACAGCTGAATTGGGGACCAAACACAAACACATTAACTTATGGGGATACTTACTATCCAATAAGAAAAGCCAACTGGGTGAGTTATTTTTAATTTGTTTACCTTTGTACACTAAAAATCTGAATCTGGCACTGAGTGCCTATAGAGTAGAATTCTTAAAAAATGTTCTTATATTCCTATAGTTAAAACTCGGTGATTTGCCCATGCTAGCTGGCACTATACTTGGGCCAAGTCCTTAACCCTTTTGATTTTGTTAATTTTTTAATCAAGTCTGCCTGTTAAACCAGCCTTGCCTGAACCACAATCCTATTTATGCTTCCAGCCCTAAATGGGAGGACAGTCATGACCTACCATGTCCAGCTTTTAATCAGTTGAATTGGATCCCTTTTACTTTTTTAAGCTTTAGAAAGCTTCCAATCAAACATCCCTGTTTCAAGTTCACAAATAGCCAATTTTAATCTTTTTTTTTTTTATTGTGGGGCTTTAATTCTGGGCTTGGGTGCTGTCCTTGCACTCTTTAGCTCAAGGCGAGCACTCTACTGCTTGAGCCACAGCACCACTTCCGGTTTTCTAGTGATTTATTGTAGATAGGAGTCTCACCGACTTTCCTGCCTGGGCTGGCTTTGAGCTGCAATCCTCAGATCTCAGCCTCCTGAGTAGCTAGGATTACAGGTGTGAGCCACCAGCGCCTGGCTTCAGTTTGAATCTTTTTTTTTAATTTTTTTATTGTAAAGATACTATACAGAGGGTTACAGTTACATGAGTGAGGTAATGAGTACACTTCCTCTTGAACATGGTTACCCCCTCCATTGTTTTCCCCCTACCATCCCCTCCCTCCCTCCCTTCCCCAGGTTTTTTTTTTTTTTGATTGTGATTAAGTGATTACATAATTTCCGGAAATTCACAGTATTGTGGAATAATGATGCTCATTTAAAGTCACAAGTTCATTCTAACTTTCCTAAAGCAAATTGTCTATCACAGTCTGTAATATATAACGGTGCTCACATGTTATATACCATATATGTGATCAGCAGCGTGGGGATATTTAGTAGTGGTTCAACCAGATGAGTGGGAGTTCTTTGTTTCTTAAGTCCTGTTAGTTTTGTCATATCACCTAACATTTTGGATTTAGCATCCACTTATCAGGGAGACCATGTACCGTTTGTCTCTTCATTCTTGGCTTACCTCGCTCAACATGATTCCTTCTAGCTCCATCCATTTCCCTGCAAATGCCATTATTTTGTCATTTCTAATGGCTGCATAATATTCCATTGTGTATAGATACCACAATTTTGGACAGTTTGAATCTTTTAAGGCACACATTTTGTTAGTGACAGCCTAATAGAATATGAGAAGGTTCGCTGAGTGGTTGGTGCTTCTACCAGAATTATATTAGTTCTAATTTGTGTCTATTACTTGTAGCTGCCAAGCTTGGGACTAAGGGCTCTAAGGCCTAAGTGTCATTAATACAGTGTTTAAGAAGAATAGTCATAATGTTGCCATGTCAAGGCACCAACAGGAAGAAAGGTACACAACTGAGCTGAGGACCAGGAGAATTCATACCCCACATTCATATTCAACACCCATATCTTAATTAATTACTTAATTTGGGTGCACATTAGGGGTAACATTTCTTTTTCTTTTTTTCTTTTTTCTTTTTTTGCCAGTTGTAGAGCGTGAACTTTGGGCATGGGCACTGTCCCTCAGCTGTTCAGCTCAAGGCTAGTGCTCTACCACTTAAGACACAGCACCACTTCCAGCTTTTTCTGCTTGTGTGGTGCTGAGGAATCTAACCCAGGGCCTCATGCATGCAAGGCAAGCACTCTACCACTGACCCACCTTCCCAGCCCCCTAGAATTTATTTTTCATATATGCTTTGTCTGATCAGGTATTTAAAAATATCTAGATGCAAGCTAGTTCTAAATTAAAAATATGTGTGTAAACCTATCTACACATACAAGGTCATATGCATACATACACAAAACATATTAACTAAAGTATGTAATATGCAAGGGAGAATTCCAATGGTGTACTCTTTGAACAACTGAGGTACAGTTTAACAAAATGAATACCGGGAAACTAGAACATGTGTTGTCAGGGATGGGTGAGGTCAAGCAGAGGCATTAGACAGAGACAAGAGGGACTGGGAATGTGGCTTAGTGGTAGAGTGCTTGCCTAACATGCATGAAGCCCTGGGTTCAATTCCTCAGTACCACATACACAGAAAAGGCCAGAAGTGGCACAGTGGCTCAAGTGGTAGAGTGGTAGCCTTGAACAAAAGAAGCTCAAGGACAGTGCTTAGGTCCTGAATTCAAGCCCCCAGGACTGGACAAAAAAGAGACAAGAAAGGGTGGGCAAATGCAATCATAATATTGGATGTATATATGTGAAAAAGAAACTAGGTAAATTGAAGGGATGGATGAGGTTTAGAGAAATGGGGAAGAATAATGAAAGGGGTAACATTGATACAGATATATTCACAAGATGACATGTTGAATTGAGACCCTTTTTTATAACTACTTAAGGATAAGTTTTTTTAAATAAAAATCTCCAGGTGCTGCATTGGATGTTATTGATAATAATGATGAAATTGTATAAGAATAGTAGCTGTTTAGCCAGGCGCTGGTTGCTCATCCCTATAATCCTAGCTACTCAGGACACTGAGATCTGAGGATCATGGTTCAAAGCTAGCCCAGGCAGAAGTGAAGCCGTGGCTCAAAGTGCTAGAGAGGTAGCCTTGAGCACAAAGGCACAGGGATAGCGCCAAGGCTCTGAGTTCAAGCTTCATGCCTGGCCAAAATAAGAATAATTATCATGGTTGCCTATGGCTTTCTAGATGAAGATAGAGAACAAACTAAGGTTTCACTCTTAGCTGTTGGAGGCCTTCATAGTTCTAAACCGTGTGCATGTTGTTGTGCCATGGTATATAGGCCTAGGACCTAGACCCCTTTCCAAGAAACCTTCACACAGTTCTGTACACCACTGCTAGACAGTGTTCTGCTAATGAAGTAAATGATGCTGCACTGGAGGACAAGGAGCACTGGGGAACAGGGAGAGAGGTGCTGCACTGATGAACAGTGTGGTAGAGGTAAACTGATGGACAGCATGTGAGCCTATACACCATGTCTTGCTGCTGTTGAATCTATAAGCAGTAGAACCTGTGATCAAGCATGACCTCCCATGACCTCATCAGGCCAGACAATCTCCTCCTGTGGCTTCTCTGAATTAAAGGAGAACCTGAAAGTGGCAACACACATGCACATGTTAATATTTATAACCATCACAAGAAGCAGACAGTTTGAGGTGGGGTTTTTTTTTGTTTGTTTGTTTTTCCTTCTTCTTTATGGTGCTTGAGTATTAGCCAGGGCCTTGTGCTTGCTAGGCAAATAGTATACCATGGAGCTCCATTCCTAGCCATGAAGGTGTTGGTAATATCCTGATTGTGTAGATGGGTACCAGTTGCACCTGGTTAACAAATGTGCTTATTCTCCTACAGAAGATGAGGGGAGGAGCTGTGATAAAAAGGCAGGCAGTTGGGCTGGGAAGGTGGCTCAGTGGTAGAGCGCTTGCCTTGCATGCTTGAGGCCCTGGGTTTGATTTCTCAGCACCACATAAGCAAAAAGAAAAAAGCCAGAAGTGGCGCTGTGGCTCAAGTGGTAGAGCGCTAGCCTTGAACTGAAGAGCTGAGGGACAGCGCCCAGGCCCAGAGTTCAGGCCCCATGACCAGACCCAAAAAAAAAAAAAGGCAAGCAGTTGGGGCCCAAACTCTGCTTTTAGCTTCTACACCCAACTGCTTTCAGTTGGAAGCCAGTGTGCTATATTGAGAAATGGAGCAACCTGCATTTGCACCTGGATGATTGGCCTCCAGAATCCTGCACCCTCCATCCCTGTGTTCTACTGTCCTTGTGACCTGTATCTCAAGTATAACTCACTTTATTTCTGCATTTTAATCATCGTTTACCACAGTCTCATCTGGTAGGGCTTATTGGATGTGCGTGCATGTATTTTTAATTATGTTCTTCTGTGTTTATTACAGGGAATACGAAATTTAAAACTGTGGAAGGAGTGGTAACAAAGACCAATAATGATCATGGTTGGATTGATGAGTCCATCTTCTTCCATAATGAGAATGTGACTGGTGATCTCCCTCTGAGAATTGGACAGAAAGTTACTGCAGTTGTGGAAGAAAATGAAACAAGCCTTGGATGGAAAGCAATCAAAGTAAGTTCTATGAAGTGGGGACAGTTCAGTATTTTTGGAAAGGCAACCTTGATGCTATTTGTCCAGCTTTTATGAGGGACCTAGGGTAATGGAGGGAGAGTAGGATTTCATTATCAACTAGCATGACTTCGGGAGACATCTGCTTTCATTTTAGTAATGCTATTGGTTTTAGCAAAAGTATCAATTTAAAACCTGTTATTGATGGGGCTGGGAAGGTGGCTCAGTGATAGAGCGCTTGCCTTGCATGCCTGAGGCCCTGGGTTCGATTCCTCAGCACCACATAAGCAAAAAGAAAAAAGCCGGAAGTGGCGCTGTGGCTCAAGTGGTAGAGCGCTAGCCTTGAGCTGAAGAGCTGAGGGACAGCGCCCAGGCCCAGAGTTCAGGCCCCACGACTGGACCAAAAAAAAAAACTGTTATTGATATGTGGTTGATATATATATACTCTGTTAACTGTTCTGCACTCAAAATGATTAGCAAAGATAAGTATGAGCATATATATTTTCCTGCAAGTTCCTTTTTTCTCTCCCACATAATGAATCTCTGTATTTGTAGAAATGTGATTGACAGGCCACCAGCCAAGCTTTTTGCTGGTTAATTGGAGACAGAGTCTCAAGACTTTTCTGCCCAGGCTGGCTTTGAACCAAAGTCCTCTGAAGCTCAGCCTCCTGATATCAGGCATGAGCCTCTTGTGTCCAGCTTTACTATTGTCACTGTACTGACACTGTAAGCAGCTGGATGGGACAGTTTGTATACTATCAATCTCTGAAAGTTTTGACCATCTAAGGAATAAAATTTACTTGTATTTCCTTATCAGTTTGGGGAAAATAGAGCAACTTTTCTTAGAATTACTTGTCAGGGACATTAGAAGTATTTGCATGTTAGGTAAAATTTGAGTTTTGTGTAGGACCTTTGTGGTGGGCATAGCTCCCAAGTTTGCCTTTCAACTTTGACTTTAAGCAGCAGGCAGTCACAGTTCACCCCTCACACATTTACCACAGATTAGTCCTGTGAAAGTTGTTTACATCTGAATAGTCTATCTGGCATTGGTTTTGTGTAGCAAGTGAGAGAAGGATGCAGACTTTTGTGAATGACTTTCTGCCCCCATGTATATGCTGAATGTAAGGATTCACCTTTCCTTCAAGTTCAAATGCCCTTTATGCCATTAAACACAATCTCATAGACTTGATATCGTTGTGGGGGGGGGCAGTCCAACAGACCCACTTAAATTATGACCAAATGATTTGCATTTCTGAAACATTATGGCATATTTCTTCAGCCTTTGCTAGACTGGTTTTCCTACTGCAACTTTTATTTATGTTTTGGAGATTTTGTTTGTGTGTGCAGGTCCAGGACTTCAACTTAGAGTCTGGATACTGTTCCTAAGCTTTGTTGCTCAAGGGTAGTTTTCCCCTACTTGAGCCACAGTTCCACTTCTAGCTCTGTGTGTGTGTATGTGTGTACGTGAGAGAGATTAATGAGAAATAAGAATCTCCGGGACTTTGCCTACCCCAGGCTGACTTCAAATGGTGATCCTTAGATTTCAGCCTTCTGAGTAGCTAGGATTACAGGTGTGACCCACAGGCACTTGGCCTATTCGGTAGATTTTAAAAGATATTTGAAAAGATATTGGTTTATCTGTGTCTATTGAGAAATCATTGTGTTGTGTTCCTCCACACATCAAAATTACAACAATTATGCCTGAAAATCTACTGGAATTTTTTGAAAGTTGCAATATATATTTGTCAATGTTTATGATAGTTGTTTAAACCACTTTTAATAGTGATCTCAGTATTTGTTCTTATAATTACTTTTGGTCATATCTGAAGCAAGTCTTTCTCTACCTTACAGGTGGAGGCTTTCTGTGAAGGTTGTATTGGTGGTAGACCATCAGAAACCAAAATGAATCTCACCTTTGGAGTGTGTGGTGATGAGTACCTTAAACACTCAAATTACTTCGCTCTGGATGTTGTTTGTAAAGGTACAGTTTACATTTTGCAAACTCTGAAATTAGGTTTTACCTAATTTCTTAGGGGAATGGTTACAGGCATTATCTCCAGGGCTGAAATTGGATACTTCCTTTTTTTTTGGAGGGGGGGGGATCCGGTCGTGGGGCCTTGAACTCTGGGCCTGAGTGCTGTCCCTCAGCTCTTCAGATCAAGGCTAGCACTCTACCACTTGAGTCACAGCGCCACTTCCGGCTTTTTTCTTTTTGCTTATGTGGTGCTGAGGAATCGAATCCAGGGCCTCATGCATGCAAGGCAAGCACTCTACCACTGAGCCACCTTCCCAGCTCTGGATACATTTACTTAATGGGAGGATTTTCACTTCTTGAACTACTTCTCTGATATATTTGGCTTTGATCAAGCACATTTCAATGCTCGATGTGGACAATATTTTCTTTTCATTTATTTTTTTGGCCAGCATTGGTGTTTGAATATAGGGCCTGCCTTCCATTCACTCGGCTTTCTTGCTTGGCTGGCATTCTACCACTTGAGCCATGCCTTTAACCCATTTTTTCTGGTTATTTTGGAGATGAAATCTCTCAGATTTTTCTGCCTAGGCTGGTCTCAAACGGATACAGATCTCAATCTTCTGAGTAGCTAAGATTACAGGGGTGAATCACCAGTGCATGATAGTGTTTTTAAAACTCCTGCTATCATGTTTCATTTTATTTATTGCTTGAAGTTGCTAATATTTCTACAAGTTTTGTCCATATAATTATTTGGGTTTCTACTTTAACAATATTATGCAAAAGTATGCAAGGACAGTATTCATACTGAAAATGTATGAAGACATAGCCTTCTCCCTTCCCCCCAATGTATTCATTGTTGAACTCTATTTGTTAATATTGAATATAACATTTTGGTTTTGTCTGCCTAAAGCTCAAGTGAGAGCTCTAGCTAGTGGAAAAGCTGAGGGACAGTGCTCAGAGGCCCAGAGTGCAAGCCCCACGACCAAAAAAACCCCCAAACCAAACCAAAAACCTAGAAGCGGTGCTGTAGCTCAAAGTGGTAGAACACTTGCCTTGAGCAAATGTCCTCAGGGACAGCACTCAGGCCCTGAAATCAAGACCCAGGAGTGACAAAAAAAAAAAGAAGTGGAGCTATGGCTCAAGTTGTAGAGTGCTAGCCTTGAGCAAAGAAACTCAGGGACAGCGCCTAAGCCCTGAGTTCAAGCTCCATGGCTAGCCCTCCCCCACAATGGTATTTGAGTTGGATTCAGTTCAACAGAGATTTCTAGATATGGGCTTGGCCAGGCTTTGGTTGTGAAGCCCTCATCATTTACTTGTAAGGTAGACATTGAAGGGTCCCATACATCCATCCCAGCAGACCATGCAGAGGCAGGCAGACACAGGAAAAAGGTTATTATAAGGTTTATTAGAGGAGCCATATTTCCCCCAAGAGGGAGCACATGGTCTCCATCACCATCCAGGTAGCAGGAGGGGTCTGAGGGTTGGAAGTGAGGCAGACGGGAGCCCAGGTGGTTCTGGGTGGAGAGAGGGAGGAGCCAGCTGTATGGCGGGAACTCCAGGGATGGGAGGGCCTCAGATCTGGGTGGAGTTGAGGACCAAGTGTGAGCATAATACTAACAGACATGACCAAAAAGATGTTACTAAACAAAGCCGGGAGAACACTGTTCTGCACTGGGGAAGATTGCCTAGGCTAGGAACTGCTCTATCTGGACTCTATGTCCCTGCCATCCCCTGCCCAACTGGATTTAGAAATAAGAATGGAAGGGGAAAAAAGTAAAAAGTTGAAAGTACTTGTTTAAGTCTCAACTGCCCTGTAGCTTGGATGCAAAGAGAGACACTGTCCCAACCATACAATACACCTCCCTATTGTAGTGTTCTTAAATGTGAAATTCAGAAGTTGATTTTCAGTTGGTATCCCAGACTCTAAACATCAAACATGTTTGTTTGTTTGTCTCAGGAATCCTCAATTCTGTGAGGAAAGATACATTGGTCTGCTAAGCTCCAAAGGCAATTTCTTGGTTTCTGTAATAATGCCATCCAACCCCTCCTTTTATGCAGGTTCAGGGGCTTGAAATCAGGACCTGTACTGTCCCTGAGGTTTTTTTGTTTTGTTTTTTGCTCAAGGCTAATTAGTGCCACTTGAGTCATAACTCCACTTCTGGCTTTTTGGTAATTAATTGGAGATGAGAGTCTCATGGACCTTCCTACACAGGCTTGCGTTCAATCAGGATCCTCAAATCTTAGCTTCCTGAGTAGCTAGGTGTGAGCCACTGGTTTGTCAGCTCCTTTAAGATTAAAATAGACCAAAGTTGGTTAGGGAGGAAATGTGGCAGGAGACAGGTAAATATCCAGTCGGGTAAATAATTTATATTTACATATATTTATAAAATATAAAACAGAAGACATAAAAATTATACATAAAATATATATAATATATATCATGTATTTTATTTTTATTAATATATTTATTAGATTTATATTTGTGTATTTAAATGCAAGTTATCTTTTTATAACTTGTATATATTTAATTCGGTGCCATATCTTTTATACTACATGTTTATATAAAATGTTTTATAACTATTAAACACAAAATATTCTTTTAAATAAATATTAAAAGGCTAGAAGTTGGAACAAAGAAACTAACATAACAAGAAGCTTCCAGCATTTAAATGCTAAGTTTCAAGGATTGTAAAGGGAGCTAGCTATGGAAAACTACCCTGTCTTTGATATGATAAAAACTTGGGTCTTGCCTCTTGAATTCCTAGGGACAGAATCTTCTCTGAAGAAAGGAAGCTCTAAAGCTCACCTATTGTCCACATGTTTTGGGAAGGCTTAGGGTCATCTCCATATTTTACAATACTAATTAAGGCCCATCTGGGCTAAGGTGACCATTGCCTAAGGATTGGGGGCTGCTAGACCTCACTACCAAGTGTATTTATTTCCTCAGCTTAGAGAGAATAAAGGTAGCAGATAACAAGCTGCTCCTTTGAGTATTTAATGTCCATGTACTGCAGGAAACTTTTTTCTCTTTTCTCCTTTAACCTGTTATGCTAAAAGTAAACCTTGCTTAAAAGAAAAGAAGGAAAAGAAAAAGAAGGAAAAATGGAAGGAAGGAAAGGGAAAAAGGAAGGCAGGCAGGCAGGCAGGTAGACAAAGATCCATGTGGCTTTGCTGGTCTCCGTATTTTTGTATTCAGTACCATATCCCTGTTATTTGGAAAATATATAAATACATATTCACATCTTGGAAATTTTCATTAATACAGGTTCTGTCTCTTATTAGTTGAATACATGGAATATTCAGTTGCAGTTATCAATCATGTTTGCCCCCAAACCAATTCCTAGAACATACCTTCTCTTACCAGTTTCTGGTTTTCTAAGAATACATGTTGAATACGATACTTTGTTCCAAATTTCTGTTTTTATTAACATGCCAAAACGAATGTTTTAATCTCCAGCATGGGACTTTTTTTTTTTTTGGTCCAGTTGTGAGGCCTGGACTCTAGGCCTGGGCACTGTCCCTCAGCTCTTCAGCTCAAGGCTAGCGCTCTACCACTTGAGCCACAGCGCCACTTCTGGCTTTTTTTTCTGCTTATGTGGTGCTTGTTAGGTTTTTAAAAAGAGGTAGCCGAGTAAGAACAGCACCAGCACGCACGTGGTATTCAGGTAAGGGGTAGGTTTATTCAGTAGACCTGCTGGGACCAGGCAAGGTTGGCACTCCACGTGGCTGGGAAAGGCCTGGGAATGAGAGAGAGAGCTGGGAAGAGAGGAAAGAGAGAGAAAAGAGCTAGAAAAGAGCAGAGAGAGGGGTAAGAACAGTAGCACTCACGTGGTATTCAGGTAAGGGGTAGACCTGCTGGGACCAGGCAAGGTTGGCACTCCACGTGGCTGGGAAAGAGAGGAAAGAGCTAGAGCAGAGAAAGAGCAGAGAGAGCTAGAAGAGCAAGAGCAAGAGCAAGAGAGCAGAAAAGAAGAGCAAGAGAGCAGAGAGAGAGACCAGAAAAGAAGACCAAGAGCAAGAGAGGAAGAGTGTCTGGGCCTGGGCTAGGCCTTATGTAGGGTATGGGCAGGGAAAGGTGTGGCCACACCAAATTCAGATGTGACCTCAGCGGATGCAGATGTGACCTCTTCCAGGTGTCCCAGTTGCCTAGGTAACACAGGTACTGGGTGGAGACTTTGCTGCGAGGAGGGTGGAGTTTGCTTGCCATCCAGGGGCGGATGGAATCGAACCGAGGGCCTCAGGCATGCAAGGCAAGTGCTCTACCACTGAGCCAACTCCCAGCCCCAGCATGGGACTTTTAAACACTGAATTTACAACAACATTCTCCTCTCTAGCAAAGATATTTCAGCTCTGAAAGGATCAATGAAAGGATCTGTCACATCCATCCCAAGGGACCATGAGAGGCAGGCAGGCACAGGAGAACGATTATTAGAAGGATTATTTCCCCTGGAGAGAGAGCACATGGCAGTATCCACTATCTAGGTAGCAGCCGGGTCTGGAGGGGTTGGAAGTGAGGTAGATGGGAGCTCAGGTGGGTCTGGTTGGAGAGAGGGAGGGGCCAACTGTATGGCAGGAACTCCAGGGCAGGAAGGAGCTCAGGTCTGGGTGGAGCTGAGGACCAAAGGTGGGCATAATACTTATATTCCATGCTCTGTTGTTTAATAAAAATAGGGGGTACCAGGCTGGGATATGGGCAGAGGTCGTTTCTTCTGGAGCTACTTCCTGCTGTAAAGGGACGAAGTAGTCAGGGGTCCCTGTATCATTGCTTAGCCAGGTACCGTCCAAGAAGCATCTGCTTGACACTGGTTGGTAAAGGTCCTCCTTTTTTCATGGCAATAGTTATCTAAAATGCAAGACACAATTAATAAAAGGCAAAATTGCTGTTAGAAGCCCAAGAAAGGAACGGGCTCTTGGCTACTTCCTGCCGGTCGGGGGGCATCAAGGAATCCCTGGAGCTGGGGTCTTTAGGGTCTGAGCTGGGCAAGGCAGCGCAGTGTAAGTGATGTCTCCAGTTGCCTATAGGAACAGGATGGCTTTGACTTGTTCTCAGATGGTATCCTGGGCAGGAGATGTTATCCTGTTGAAAGAGACTTTTGGAAAGATCAGGCAAAAATCTGACAAGGTGACAAGGTCAGTTAACATGAATGACATAGGAGAATACACATTGACAATGGGCCAGAAACGTTCCATTTGGAGGATAAGCCCAATTGCAGCCCATTACAGGGAAGGCAGAATAACTGGACTCAGGGCAAGGAAGGCAGGAAGTGGGTGTCTAGGTTCTTTTGGGTAACTGGGTAGGGGAAGTACCAGTCAGAAGCTACTATAGATACAAATAGCAGGCAACAAAGGCAAGATCGTTAACTTTCTGTCCAGTTAGAAGGTAGACAGGTATGGTCATTGGGTGGGCAAGCAACTATTTCTCTTGATCTCGGGCTCTGATTAATTTTGAAAGGGCAAGCATAAAGTGACTCCATTTAGGATGTCATCTCCTCTTACTCGTCTTCATGGTTTTCCATTGTCAGGACTGACTTTGTCCTGGGGGTGTCTCAGCATCCGTTGCTGGGATAGCTTCTCCCAGTGGCACCTACCGGGTTTGGACTCAAGGCCTGGGCACTGTCCCTGAGCACTTCTGCTCCAGGCTAGTGCTCTACCAATTAGAGTCACAATGCCACTTTCAGCCTTCAGCTGAATACTTAGAGGTGAGTCTCAAGCTATGTCTCCAGCCTAGCTCTGTGCTGATTAGCTGGGAGATGGAATTTTAGAGGGATTTTATTTTGTGCTCAGGATGGCTTTGAATTGTGGCAAAAGGGAGTCTTTGTTACAAAAGTCCTTTTAATTTGCAATTAAAGCCACAAGGAGACCATTGAGATAGAAGTGACCTATAACTTAATAATTGAGTAACAATTACTTGCCAACAACAAACTTTAGTAAACAGGAGACAAGAACAGACACGTGACATGATATAATGGCGCCACTGGTCAGGTCAGAGGGGGGAAGGTCACAGAATCAAGTTGAATTGACACGAAATCGAGTCAGCTCAAAATAGCAGCTGAGCTCCAACACTGCCAAGATGGTGGATCTGCCACAGGGTCAATGCTAGAGAGAGCTAAAGATTTTGACAGTGAGGGTGCATTGCTTCTGACACACTGGAGCTTCAGGTTCCACCCCCACTACAAATGCAAAAGAGGTGTCCCTCAGGGGAGTGGGGGCCTTGCAGAGGAGGCCCTTCAGGGGAGGGGGCCTTGCAGGAGAGGCTGCAGAGGATGGGGGGCCTCGCATGGGAGGCTGCAGAGGGGGTATCTTGCAGTGGAGGTTGTAAAAGGGGGTGTACCTCACGGGGGAGGCCGTAAAAGATGGGGCACCTCTCAGGGGAAGCCACAGAAGTGGGAGTGCCTTGTGGGGAGGCCGCAAAAGAGTGGGTACATCGCAGGGGAAGCTGCAAAACATCGGGGGCCTCACAGGGGAGGCTACAAAATGGGGGTGCCTCTCAGGGTAAGTCACAAATGAGGGGGTACATCACAGGGGAGGCCGCAGAGGGGATGCCTTGCAGGGGAGGCCACAGGGACACCTCACAGGGGAGGCTGCAAAAGAGGGGGTACCTTGGGAGAGGCTGCAGAAGTGGATGTGCCTCGAGGGGGAGGCCGTAAAAGAGGGGGCACCTTGTGGAGGAGGCCGCAAGAGTGAGTGCCTCGCAGGGGAGGCCACAAAAGGGGGAGCGCCTCATGGGGGAGGCCAAAGAAGTGGGCTTACCTCATGGGGAAGGCTGCAAGAGACAGCGCCTTGCAAGGGAGGCTGCAAACAAGGGAGCACCTTGTGGGGGAGGCCGCAGAAGTGGGGGTACCTCACCGGGGAGGCCACAAAAGAGGGAAGGGCCTTGCAGGGGAGGCTGCAAAACAGGGGGTATGCAGAGGAGGAATTTAAACTTAAACTCACCCATACTTTTACCTTCAGTTGGAAGGGAGAGGTAGAGAGAAACAGAGACAGAGACAGAGAGTTCTACCTGCCCAAGTGCTCACATAAGTGGAGTTTTAAACTTGGGGCCAAAGTTGATTGTAAGGAAATTTAGTCCTGTCCTTTTCCATAAGTGACCAGAGCCAAAAGCTAGCTGGGGAGTGTCCTTGGCAGTGCAATGTAGCTCAAACAAGGACCTACTAATGGGAAGGATCATCACCCCTTTCCACGGTGGTCCCCAGCCACGGAAGGTTGGGGGGGGGTGAGATCCGGGCACTTGAAAGCCGGAATTCCTGTCAACTGGTCACTGACCTGGGGTAGGATTTAATTAGCCAGTGTTGGGCAGCAGGTAGAATGCTTGGTCAGGAGAAAGTTACCTTATTGTTCCTCTGGCGATCAGAGTATAGGATCTGAGGCTAGGTCCCGGGGAAGCTGGTCGGACCCCCACCCGAAGTGGAGTGAGGAAGCAAATCCACCAGGGAACCTCTCCCCGTAGAGCCACCAATGAAAGGATCCGTCACATCCATCCCAGGGGACAAGGCAGAGGCAGGCAGGCACAGGAGAAAGATTATTAGCAGACCTATTAGAGGAGCCATATTTCCCCCGGAGAGAGAGCACAGGGCAGCCTCCACTATCTAGGTAGCAGCAGGGTCTGAGGGAGTAGGAAGTGAGGTAGATGGGAGCTCAGGTGGGTCTTGGTGGAGAGAGGGAGGGGCCAGCTGTAAGGCAGGAACTCCAGGGCTGGGAGGAGCTCAGGGCTGGGTGGAGCTGAGGACCAAAGGTGGGCATCATGTTTACAAGCTCTGCCTAATAAAGCCTGTGATGCTCACCGAAGGACTAGCTTCAAGCACAGTTAACACTTTTATCTCCTGTGAATTTGAGGAATTACTAAAGGAGAATTAACAGCTGAAGGATTATAAATTTCCATAGGTTAAAGGGGTTCAAAGGTTCAAAACAAGCCATAGATATAGTAGACACTGTTTTAGGCGTTATGACAAAGCAACTTGTGATATTGGACCTTACCAAAAGGAATACATTTATTCCAACTTGATTTCTCCCCATGGCTGTTTTAGATTTTGACCCTTATGAGGGTGACCTGATGGAAGTTGTGTTTTCCTTCAAGACTGAAATGCAGGACAGGAAGATCATCTCTGTGAAGCCTCTGAGATACAATCACGTGAAAGAGGTATTCCCTGTGCATGAAGTATGGGCGTATGTTATTTCCTGTACACAAACTAGTGGTCCTTTGTGTCTTTCTTATCTTTCCTATAGTAATGTTTTCTGTTGCTCAGGCTTCTACCAAGTGTGTTGGGACAGCTAAAATAAAATAGAGCCTCTGGCTGAGCACAGGTGGCTCATGACTGTAATCCTAGCTACTCAGGAAGCTGAGATCTCAAGATTGTGGTTTGTGCAGAGCCTGTTAGGATGGATGATGTTTTCCTACATTAAATCTCATCATTTCTCATCACAGGTCTTCATTACCAGTGTATATGGAAAAGAAGGGGTGGTGGACAGCAATATCTTTTACACCTTGGAGTCTCTGAAAGTTCCTGCTGGATACCAACCTCAAGTCCATGACCTTGTCAACGTGCTGGTAGTGCAGACTGCTCAGCCTGGCTTCTATTGGAGAGCAATCTCCATGACCCCAGTATACATGGAATAGAAACCACACCTTTCATTTTTCCTTTTAGGGGTAGTATAGGACCTCATTTAATGAATATGTTTAGGTTAGCGAAGTCAAAAGGAAATGTTAACTTCAATTGTTCTTGTAAACATCCCTTGGGACCATGAGCAATCTTAAGGGAAGTGCATTGTCAATAAGATGTTTTAAAGTTTCTCTTGATTGTAAAAAAAAAAAAAATACAAAAAAAAACCTGAAAAAGCAGCCCTGCCTAAGGTAAATCTTGGTTTCCAGGCTCATAGTAAATTCTGTGCTGGCAGTGCTAGCTTTGGCCTTTGATCATACACCTGCAGAGACAAAGCATCTAACTCCAAGCACAAGGGCCAGCATGTTAATGGGTATGATTTAAAGTGACAGTCTTCCTTTAGATTGGAGTCCGCCTTATGCTAGGTGTGCAGTGTTTCCTTATTTCCACAGCATTTTCCATCTCCTAACGACTCCTCAGTTTATGAAATTTAGTGTCTATCTCTGGCCCTTCTTTCCAGGCTATTCAGAATGTCAAGATGAGGGATATTTTTTAGAGCTGTGTGTTATCTTTTCTTCATTAACTCAACAGCAAGTACTAAGTATGTTGCCTGGCTGATACTAGGGCAGAGTACATGTTATTAACTTTAATAAATTATTTGAGCAGCAATAGAGCTTCTGTGTGCTTAATTCATTATCCAATCCATATTAATCAAGTTGTTGGGCTGGGAAGGTGGCTCAGTGGTAGAGCGCTTGCCTTGTATGCATGAGGCCCTGGGTTCGATTCCTCAGCACCACATAAGCAAAAAAGAAAAAAGCCAGAAGTGGCGCTGTGGCTCAAGTGGTAGAGCGCTAGCCTTGAACTGAAGAGCTGAGGGACAGCACCCAGGCCCAGAGTTCAGCCCCACAACTGGACCCAAAAAACAAAAACAAAAAAATAATCAAGTTGTTGAGCATACCATGAAGACCTCAGTTTTTTTTCCCTAGTTGTGAGGCTTGAATTCAGGGCCTGGGTGCTGTCCCTGAGCTCTTTTTGCTCAAGGCTATTGCTCTATCACAGTGCCATTCCAGTTTTCTGGTAGTTAATTAGAGATAAGAGTCTCCTGGGGACCTTTCTGCCTGAGCTGACTTCAAACTGCGAGCCTCAGATCTCAGCCTCCTGAGTAGCTAGGATTATTGGCTTAAGCACTGGCGCTGGGCCTCAGTGTTTTTTTTTAAACAAAAACATAGCCATGCATGGTGTCCATAAGCCTCCGTGGGCACTTTATGGGAGAGGTGCCAGTCCATCTGCAGATTTGTATCAGGGCAAACCAGGGCCACTTGCAGGAAGGGGAAGTTGCTTGAGCTTGGGGAAGGATCTTAAGAAATCCAGGGATCTCCTTGATCTCTCTTAAGAGAGCATTCAAGCCATGACCCTGCCCTAGGGGAGGGGCTATTTCAGAGCTTTGAGCATCACTGGAATGTGGCTTGTGGCTCAGCCCCAGTCCTGGGATTCATAGTGCCACTAAAAGCCTTTGGTTCTGAGTTTGCATTGTAGGTGTAGGTGATCCATCCAATCTTCCAGTGCCCCAGTTTATAATAAAAGAAGTCAGCTCAATATTTTGGTGTTTTCATTTGCTGGTTCACTCTAACTTCCCATTTGTGTGCCAGGCACTGTTGTAGGCATTGGAATTAAACATAAGGATCAAAAATGTTAATCTCTGAGCTACTACTGTCCACAGAGCAGGGGGTAGAGAAGACTGCTCCCAGAGAGGACCTAACGCTCAAAGAGAGGACCTAAGTGACAATAAGGATTACCCAACATAGATGGAGAGGCCTGAGGGCTTGGGGAAAGACTTTATAGGAGCGACCATGTGTGTTAGAACACCTTCAAGTCAGAACTACAACCTATAGGACAAGAATCTAAAGAAAACTTAGTGAAACATGGGTGGTTCTTCCATATCTTTTCAACTCTGGGTCAGTAATATATATATATATATATATATATATATATATATATATATACCAAATAACCAGTAAAACCACAGCGCTCTGTACTGTCATGGTTAGAGTGGCACATTCACCACCTCAGATAGACCGTGTTAATACTAAGCATTAGTGCATACCATCTTCCTTCATGCTCATGCTAATCTGGACAGCCAGTTCCCGTGTGTCAGAGAAGCCAAGTCTCTTGCTCAAGGACACAACGCTTGTGGGTCACAGAAGCAAGATTGAAGAACAAGATAGCCTGTGTGCTGCTGACAACCATGGCGCCCTATCATGGTATGGAGCCGATTTCCATGTGGGGGATAGTAGATATTCATCAAGGGGAATTTGCAACAGACTAGTAAAAATTACCACCCTTGTTATATGTTAAATGGGCATGGTTATACAGGACTGAAACCTGAGTACTTGGGAAGTTCCAGTAGGAGGACTCTAAATTAGAATTACAGGCAAGTTCAAGGATAGCTTGTGCTGTATAGTGAGAGTTTACCTCAAAATAAAAAGGCAAAAACACCTGCCACAACCTTCTTTTCAAAGTCTATTTCCAATTAGTGTCCTTTTCATAATTCTATTGTACATCCAATTCATTTTCCATTGTTTTGGTGGTAGTGGGGTTTGAACTCAGGGCCCCATGCTTATTAGCCAGATGTTGTATCACTAAGCAATGTTCCTTTTTGCTCTGGTTATTTTAAGATGGGGTCTTGTTGTTTTGGACCATTTCTGCACCATGATCATCCTATTCTGCATAGCTTGGATGACAGGCTTGTGCCACCATGTCCAGCTTCTTTCCTTGAGATGGAGTCTCACAAACATTTTGCCTGTCTGACCTGGAAACATGCTTCTCTTGATCCTATTCTCTCATATTGTTGTGTTGTAAGGTGCTCATCATCACTGCCAGCTACTGATTAAGATAGGGTCTTGAGAACTTTCTGCCAGTAATGGCCTAGAACCTCAGTCCTTTCAATCTCAGCCTCTCAATTAGCTAGGGTTGCAGATTTGCGCCACCTCCCATTTCTTTTAAATGATTTTTGTAAGACATATCTTTTTTGATAAGAAAAAAATCTATAGCTTATTGTATTACTTAATTTTTTTGTAACATCCACATGTTCATTTCCCCAAAACAACCTTGTTGTTTACAAAAAATGTTCTCTTTCCTACTTCAAAGAACTTGTTTGTTCCTACTAGCACAACGGAGAAAGTAATAAGGTGGAAATAGAATGTCATTCAACCAGAGAGAACAATCATATTTTCTTTTTTTGTGTGTGTGTAAGGACACGGTGAGCAGAGGGAGAGGCAGCAATTATCCTAGTTTCGGTTGGGAGCATCTGAGCAAAGATGTGTCCATTGTACCTGCTCCTATCGGAGAATAGCACTTCCCCTTTTCAGTTCTATGCTTCCTTCTGATTCTTGGTGTCTGCATGTGACAGGTAGGCTGAGAATTTCATGGGTGTTGGGGGTAGAGTGATTTCCAGATAGCTAGTGTGGCCTGAGGGCACTGCCCTCTTAGGTGCTGTGTCAGAAGAAGAAGCAAAGAAAAGAATGTCCTTTTGACCACATTCGGGACCCATTTCAGGTCAGTAGGTATAATGTTGAAAAACGTGTTTGCTCTTACTCCTTTACCAATGTCACAAATTTGTATTACCAGTGTGATCATCACCTTAGTAGCATTGACAAAAACATTTGTTTGCAGAGGCCTAGTAAGGGGCAAAGCCAGTTGTGGAAATGGTCCTGGGCATAGTCTCCAAGTGGTATGTACTCTTGCCCCTAGGCCAGGGCAGAAGATAGTGTAAGGACAATTAAATGTTAATAAATGCATTACAGGGGTTTGGTGGCAAAGGACTGTAACCTAGCACAGAGAAGGCTAAAGCAGGAGGATCAGGTGTTCCTGTGTTGTCTAGTGTATTTTTTTAGTCCTATCAAAAAAGAAAAATCTCTTAATGTGCTATATTGAGACTAAACATAATCATTATCTCCACAGATATTGAAATCATAAAGTAAGAAGAGTTTTATTACTATACTGGAGGCATCATATATATGCATTTAATCTATAGTTTATTTAGGGTAATGAGTTACAATGATGTTCCAGTTTTCTTCATAAATCCTGTGTGATTAATTTGATAAGGCTGCAAGTCAGTCCCCTAGGAGTCTACAATGTTCCACACAAAGGCAAAGGGTTTCCTGTTTTTCCAATTAATTTAATAATTTAAAATGATTAGATAATTTGAAATTATTTAAAATTATTTAAATTTAAATTTAAAATAATTTAAAAATGAATAGAAACACATTGCTGGGTATTAGTGTTAAAGTTAGAATTTTAAGTGTAATTCAAGTTTATAAAAATTTAAGGGAATTTAATGTCCACTGTTTCTTTTTTTGTTCCAGTCTGGGGATTGAACTCAGAGCTTCATGCTTACTAGACAAATACTTTACAACTTGAGCCATGTCCCCAGTATAGTTTTGGTCTGTTTAATTTTGAATGTCACTTAATGATGTAGCAGTTGTGAATATTTATTTATTAGTCAGTTGTATGGCTTGAACTAGTATTTATTTATTTAGTTAGTTAGTTGGTCATGGGGCTTGATCTCTGGGCCTGGACACTGACCCTGACCTCTTCTGCTCAAGGTGAGTGCTCTACCACTTGAGCCACAGTATCACTTCTGGTTTTCTGGTGGTTAATTGGAGATAAGCGTCTCACAGACTTTCCTGCCCTGGCTGGCTTTGAACCATGTACCTTAGATCTCAGCCTTCTGAGTAGTTAGGATTATAGGCATGAGCCTCTGGCACTTGGCTGAAGCATTTATTTATTGATGGATTTTTTAAACTCCCCAAATCTTCTGTCTTTCTCATCTTGTATAGGTAGCAACTGTTCTTTTCACATTACTCAAGCTAAATATTTTTCTCTCCTCCAAGAATCCCGTTGCTTTTATTAGTCTACTTAATTCCATCATGAAAACCTCTGATCTACATTCAACATACCACTAGAACCTGACCAATTCCTTCCTCTTCCTCTCCTTCCTCTCTACTCTTGTTCCAACTACCATTACCACTCTTCTGAATTGCTTTTTATTCACTTATTTGTTTATTTTTGTTGTACTGTGGTCTCAATATGTTGCCCAAGCTGGTCTTGCACTCAGGCTCAACTGATTCTCCTACCACGTCCTCCCAAGTTGCTAGGACTATATATTATATACCACAGCACCTTGCCCTCCTCAATTATTCTAATAGTTCTTAACTAACATCTCTTAATTCTTCTGTTAGTCGATACAGTCAGTTCCCATAACATATTTTATGTTGAATACATGTATGTATTTTAAATAGGCAAAGAGGCCTTCCAAAACAAGCAAGTATGGGTAGTTGCTGTTCCTCTGGCCTACTGTGTATTTGCATATAATTATGTTTCATGGAAAATTCTGTGTACAGGGCTGGGAAGTTGGCTCAATGATAAGATTACTTGCCTCACATGCATGAGGCCCTGGGTTTGATTCCTCAGCACCATATAAGCAGAAAAGGCCAGAAGTGTCTCTGTGGCTCAAGTGTTAGGGCACTAACCTTGAACTGAAAAGCTGAGGGACAGCACCCAGGCCCAGAGTTCAGGCCCCACGACCGACTAAAAACAAACAAACAAAAAAAAAACAAGAAAATTCTGTATACACAATTGGAATGAGCAATAAATGCATAAGACTTTGCTGTAGGTAGTTTAAATTAATATACTGAGCAGGGCACCAGTGGCTCACGCCTGTAATCCTAGCTACTCAGGAGGCTGAGATCTGAGGATCAAGCCAGCCTGGGCAAGAAAGTCCGTGAGACTCTTATCTCCAATTAACCACCAGAAAACCGGAGGTGGCGCTGTGGCTCAAGTGGTAGAGCGCTGGCCTTGAGCTGAAGAGCTGAGGGACAGCATCCAGGCCCAGAGTTCAAGACCCACGATCAACAACAACAAAAAATAATAATATACCGATGCCAATGCTGTTTTGCAAGGGAGGGTACTAGGAGTATTTCTCCACCCCCTCTCTCTCCCTCCCTCCCTCCCTCCCTCCCTCTCTTCCTGTCATCATCTTAGTTTTTTTTTTTGAGTTGTGGGGTTTGAACTCTCTGTCCCTGCACTCTTCAGATCAAGGCGAGTGCTCTACCCTTGAGCCACAGCACCACTTCCAGTTTTCTGTTGGTTTATTGGAGATAAGAGTCTCACAGACTTTCTTGCCCGGGATACTTTGAACCACAATTCTTAGATCTTGGCCTCCTGAGTAGCTATGATTACAGGCGTGTGCCACCAGTACCTGGCTTCATCATCTTAGGTTTTTTGTTTGTTTGTTTTTTGGTGGATCTTCGATTTAAACCCAGGAACTTTCATGTGCTAAGCAAGCAATCCACACTAAGCGACATCCCAGATACTTTAGTAATCAGAATGAGCAGAGCTTTGATATCCTCCATTTGTTGGAGGTATAATCTCTATGACCTTAGATTAACATCACCTGATAGAATTTTTCAGGAATTTCATTTCATGTAAAGGAACATAGGTGAATATTACCCTTACAGAGGGTATATACAATGTGCAATTTCATCCTCCTGCAGAATTTGGATCAAGTCTAGATCCCCTTGGATTATCCCTTGGCCCATTGAACTAACTCCAGTAACACAATCTACAGGTTACTCCCTGCTCGTCTGTCACAAGTAAGATTTGGCTGAGCTTACTGGACATGTGCTGACATACTATGAGGCTTCTGATCCATCTGAGAAAAGAACAGTGGTGGGCTATCTTACTCAATCAAATGAAGTTAGACTTACAAGACACTGAAAAGCCTGCAGGTATAGTCTACTACACTGAGTTTGGGTTTAGTATGGTCAGGACACGGTTCCCCTGTAGTGCAATGTGGTTTTAGCAAGAATTAGGCTCCCAGGCTTCTCTTTCAGAAACTAGGATAGATGGCTGTGGGAATCTGTGGCCTAAGATCCTTTTGGTGTATTCAGCAGTGTGTGTGTGTGTGTGTGTGTGTGTGTGTGTGTAGATCCTGGTGATTGAACTCAGGGACTGGGTGATGCTGATCCTGATTCTTTGTTCAAGGTTAGTGCCTACCTATGGCTCTACTTCTGACTTTTTGGTGGTTAATTGGTTATAAGATCCTCACAGACATTCCTGACTGGCTAGCTTTCAACCTCAATCCTTAAATCTCAGCATCCTGAGTAGCTAAGATTACAGGTGTGAGCCACCAGACCTTGGCTTTGAGCAATATTTTTTATGGCTACAATAATTTTTTTCTTGTGTCTTCATTTGGTTTATAATGCTTTGTATCCGATGTTTACATTTTATATTTGGTCCCAAAGTTTCTGAATCTCAAACGATAACAGCATTTCTACAGAAGCCATTAACTCCACATATATTATTTCAACTCAGTGGGTGTCTAGAAGAGATCAGATATGTATTGATATGAATAGATTTATCTTTTTAGACTGTAGACTTTGGGATTGGTTTAGCTTGGACATAATCAGCAATTATGCTCACACAAATAATCTCGTAATTTCATAAATGACCACGTGAGAACTTGTCAACTGTGTATGGACTGAGTTTATGTCCTGGGCATAGCAGGAAGGCTTACTGGACTGTTCTGAAGATAGCTCCAAGACTAGAGCTACTTGAATTCATCCTTTAATATCACCCTAATTGACCGAATCTGTCTTTGTTTTACTAAAGTTTTAATTTTCTTCTGGGTCTCATTAATGTTCTGGGTTTGTTTTCTTGTTTGTTTCATTAGCAGTGAATGTATTTAACCAAGCAGCCGCTGAGTTTTCTTGAGCTAACTGCATCTTACGGCTCCAGAAGTTTGCTTGCTAATCTGGTAATCAGATTTTGTAAAATATTTGTGGTCATGGAAGACAGTTTATTAGAGAAACTCTTACATGGGTTATTGACAATTAATTCATAAATAATGAAGTTGGAGCTCTCCCATGGAGTATCCACAGCAAGACTGAAGTTGTCTGCTTCTTTTTTGTTTTTTTGGTTTTTTTTGCCGGTCATGGGGCCTGAACTCTGGGTCTGGGCGCTGTCCCTCAGCTCTTCAGCTTAAGGCTAGCGCTCTACCACTGGAGCCAAAGCGCCACTTCCGGCTTTTTCTGTTTATGTGGTGCTGAGGAATCGAACTCAGGGCCTCATGCTTGCAAGGCATGCACTCTACCGCTGAGCTACCTTCCCAGCCCTGTCTGCTTCTTAAAAGGAGGAGAGTATTAAGTAATTATGAAGCTGTGCGTGACATGCATAAGTCTTTTATAATGCTGTTGCTATTGCCGCTGCCCATGATTCTCCTGATTCTCATGGCTATAGAGAGGACAATCATTCATGGCACTGCTGTTGCACAACGCAAGCCTTTTTCACTCATAATCAACTTGCTACCATCATCACTAAGATTTCCTTGCCAACAATGGCCTATCATGTATATCTCAGCTTTATAAAAGGGCAATCTTCTTCACCTTCTGTCTCTTGCCAGATGCCACAGTGATGAAGAACCCTTTTGGTCATATGCAGAATGCTCTTAAGAATAAATAAGAGGCATCAGAGACACTTATTTGGTAAAGACTTGGAAGAAGTCTGAATGGTAAGTAAAGTGTCGCTCGGCTTAATAGTGGAAATATAGCCATCACAGTCATCCTTTACTCTTCCTTAGTTCCTTGTGGCACAGAGCATCTTCTCAGCACGTGGGTGGACCAGAGTCTCAGGACATACAGTAGACAAGTCTCCCCTTCCACCAGACACAAGAAGAGAGACCAGACCTATTCCCCTCCACTATGTGCTGTCCACACTCTACATCTTGGGATGGGAACCTAGTTGGGAAAAGATGGCTGAGAAACCACATCCACACAGTGCAATGCCAATTACAACCAGAAGGTCACTCTCAAAGCAACCCTCCAAACTTTTTCAAGTTTCCCTGGGACTCTGATCTCAGTTGTTATTCTCATTGGAGTAGTGGGGATGAAATACTGTCAGTGTCTCTAAAGAGAAACACATGTGCTGCAAAAGACTAGAGGAGAATCAAAGGTTGGGCCCAGGCTTAAGCACAAGCTGTGGTTACTTTTGAGAATTGTCCCACATAAGAGACCATGACTGTGAGAGGGGTTAGGACTAAGGCTCAAGCGGTTTCCTGCAGGTGCTCTAGGCTGTTTTCATCCAAGCTACCATGGGGGCAGCAAATCCAAGACACAGAATGGAAGAGCTCTCTTCCACCACCTAGTGGTGAGACCTGACTCCTGTATTTTTTCCATACTTCTACATTTAATGACTATTGGCACACCCTGAAACAACCCTGATGACTGAGGATCCAGTTGCCAAAAACTTAGAAAGACTGTTGAGAGTTCTCATTTCTAGAGCTTTTTGGTAGTTAAATTTCTAGTGGTTAATTGGAGATAGAAGTCTCGTGGACTTTCCTGCCTGAGTTGGCTTTGAACTGTGATCCTCAGATCTCAGCCTCCCAAGTAGCTAGGACTACCAGCACCCAGTTTGGAGAGATCTTTATTACACAGCAAGGAAAAGTCCTCAACTTAAAATTCCCACATTAGCAAGTTTTGGGAAGCACAGGAAACAATTGAAACTAATAACTTGTAATGTGGGAAACTAGAACTAACAAGTACCATAGACACTTGTGTGCAGGGTGCTTGAAAAGCTAACCTACCTTTCTGAGTTACCTAGTTATTCCACTTAAATTTACAAAAAAGAAAATAAAAACCAGGTGCACATAAAGTGATATCCATGGATACTTGAAGTATCTCTCTAGGCTAGAAGAATCTTTGGGTGGTAGAGAATTTTCTTAGCAGGACTGAGTCCCTGGGTTGGATACTGGATTTTTAGACCCTCAGGCCCAAAGTTTTGCATTAGGTCCAGCCACTGTCCCCCATAAGCCAAATAAAGAAAAGGTGAAGAATGGAGAGGAAGATTACATTGCAGCCATGGGAAGACAATATTTTAGTCATCTTTAGTGGCCTACACATTGACTTCAGGTTAAATAGGAAAAATTGGATTCAAGGGATGAAGAAGAACATGCATAATTAAAACAGTTTGAATTCCTAAGTATATCTTAGCTATTATCTCAGACTGAAGAGACCTTGCAGGTGTGGTCTGTGGCTTGGCTGTTCTCTTTTCATTTCTTTTAATTTTTTTTTTTTTTGTGTGTGTGTGCTGGTATTGAGGCTTGAATTATGGGCGTTGTGCTTGCTTGCTTGCTTGCTTTTCCTTCTTTCTTTTCTTTTTATAGTGATGGTCCTACAGCTTGAACTTAGAGCCTGTGAGCTGTCCCTGGGTTTTTGTGCTCAAGGCTAGTACTCTACCACTTTGGCCACAGCACCATTTCCAGCTTTTTGGGGGGGAGAGGGTCCGGTTGTGAGGCCTGAACTCTAGGCCTGGGTGCTGTCCCTCAGCTCTTCAGCTCAAGGCTAGCGCTCTACCACTTGAGCCACAATGCCACTTCCGGCTTTTTTCTTTTTGCTTATGTGGTGCTGAGGAATTGAACCCAGGGCTTCAGGCATGCAAAGCAAGTGCTCTACCACTGAGCCACCTTCCCAGCCCACCATTTCCAGCTTTTTGGTAGTTAATTGGAGATGACACTCTCATAGACTTTCTTATCTGGGCTGGCTTTGAACCACAATCCTCAGATATCATCCTCTAGAGTAGCTAGGATTACAGATGTGAGCCACCAATGCTTGGCTGGGCTTTGTGCTTTCACACAGCTTTTTCTGTCACAGCTGGTGCTGTACCACTTAACTCACATATCCACTTCCACCTTATTGCTGGTTTATTAGAGATGAATCACTTGGACTTTTCTGCCCTGACTGGTATAGTACAAGTATCCTCAGATCTTAAGCTCCCACATACCTAGGCATCTGGCTTTTGGTTCTTCTCTTCTAGATGATATGAAGGTGGCATTGCTTCTTTAAGAATCAGTTTGTCTTTTTTTTGTCAAAGATGCTTATTGTATCCTGTAATCTTTCTGGAGCTTAAGTGACTATAGCAAGGAATGGCTGAGATCAAAGAACATGAACACAAAGTATGTGTGTAGGGGGCAGGTTTGCATTAATTTGCAGGCCTAGCAAAAGTATCTTTTAAGTTACGTCTTACATTTGTACATGTTTGTGATATTTGAAGTAACTTTATCCCAATAAGTGATAGGTTCTCTAATTATGGTGATGGCCATCATTTGACACTACAGTTTTAATCACCTGAGTTACTTCTCTAATTAAAGAGACTGATTACATTAATAAAACAACTCTCTAGGCATTGTTTAAAAAGGAATGATCACATTCTTTAAAATGAACAATTATATACATCTCCTTTTAAAATTATTTGGAATTTGAGAAGAATGCAAGCAGCATTTCAAGGGTCAAATCAGAGTATGTTCAATGGTTTTGAAATGTCTTAGTATTGGTACTATATTCAGAATATACCTAGCTTCACTCAGTGGCTCTTTATTTTTTTTTATTTTTAAAATTTTATTGTAAAGGTGATATACAGAGGGTTTAAAGTTACATGAGTCAAGTAATGAGTACTTTTCCTTTTGAACAGTGTTATCCTTCCCTCATTCTCTCCCAAATTTCCCCTTCCAAGTCTCCAGGCCCAGTGGCTCTTAATGTTTGATGTGACCTTTGCAATTGGAACAACTATAGCATAGGGATACACATGAGTATTTTCCAAAGCCCATGCGATATATGTTTACTATTTGTTAAGTTTCTTGCCTCTTCTTTCCTCCTACAAGAAATTTCCCTGGGGGCTGGGAAGGTGGCTCAGTGGTAGAGTGCTTGCCTTGCATGCCTGAGGCCCTGGGTTCGATTCCTCAGCACCACATAAGCAAAAAGAAAAAAGCCGGAAGTGGCGCTGTGGCTCAAGTGGTAGAGTGCTAGCCTTGAGCTGAAGAGCTGAGGGACAGCGCCCAGGCTCAGAGTTCAGGCCCCCAGGCCCGGACCCCCCCCCAAAAAAAGAAAAGAAATTTACCTGCACCAGGCCAATATTCTTGTTTGTACTAAGCACTGATTAATGCCAAGCACGAAGAATGGTGTGTGGCTCATGATCAGTCCTCAACAAATATTTATGAATGCAATAATACAGTATGTAATGTAGAGAGATTGGCTGGATTAGGTAAAAAATGAATAAATGATAGAAATGATTGGGAAATAATTCTATGAGAAATGACTGTGGGAAGTAATAGTGTCATAAAATACAAGGGCTTTATTTTTTTGTGCCAGTCATGGGATTTGTACTTAGTACCAGGGCCCTCTGTACTTGCACTTTTTTGCTCAAGACTGGTGTTCTACCACTTGAACCACAGCTCCAATTCTGACTTTTTGCTGGTTACTTGGAGATAAGAGCCTCACAGATTTTCCTTCTCGGGCTGGCTTGGTATTATAATCCTAAAAAAGTCAGTCTCCTGAGTAGGTAGTATTACAGATGTGAGGTATTGGCCTGTTGCATAAGCCTCAACGCCATATTTTTGCGTTCTCCCTATAGGTGCTCCCAGACTGAATGGGCGGAGCCAAGTTCCCCCGCTCACTGCCTCTGATTGGCTAGAGGAGTCAGCAGTATGCTGCGGTGAGTGGGAGTTGGGGAGTGGCGAACTCACAGTATTCGAGTTCACTTTCATAAGCAGCAGCGGCCATGAAGTTGGTGCTGACAGTGAGGTGGGCTCCTGTAGGCTCCCTAAAAGACAGACTCTGAGCAGGAGCTGAAAGGGAGGGGAGGTGTCGTTGGCTTTTCTAGAAAGGGGGTCTACCTCTGGTTTCGCCTCTTGGCGATTGAGGAAGAGGGTAGAAGGCCAGACTGTGGCTGTAAACGGTAATCTCGGGCCCACTAGAGAGGCCTTGTGCGCTTGTTGGAAGCCATGTTGGCCCTGACTGGGCTCCTGAGCCGGACCTTATTGTTATTTCAGATGAGGGCGGACACTAACGAGGGGGCATCAGACTGCTGGAAAATATTCCTCTGCCATTCCCCATCTCCTAACCCTGCCCTGGGACCATTGGAGATGGGGGTGTGAAGAGTGTGGGAGTGTGGGTGGTCTAGGGAATGATCGCTGCCATCTTGAGAGTCCGCTATCCGGAAGGGAGAGGTCTGAGTGAAGCCTCAAGAGCTCAGCCAGCATTGAGTGTATGCTCAAAATCCTCAGCTTGGTTCAAGGCAGGGAGGAACTTGCATCAATACCTGAAAGTTGTATGTCTGGTGTGTCACACATTAACCTGCATTGTTTCCCTTCATACTCCCCTCATGCGATGCCGTTTTCTGTTTCTAAGGAATCTAATCTGATGGTGATTTTGGTCTGGTCACGTAAAGGTCGGAATCTAATCTGATGGTGATTTTGGTCTGGTCACGTAAAGGTATTTTAAAGAAGAGTTGAGTGTTTAAAAGTTTTTACTCCATCAGACTTTATTTCTGGGCAATTCGTGTTTGTCCCATCAGCAGTTTTCATATCATCTTTCATTAGCTATAAAGAAATGACTGCTTGAATGGGCATAGTGTTACTTGCTTAAAACAGTGGTGGGGCCCAAATTCTAGAAAGCCTAAGCATTAATGTTATTTTACCACTAATTTGACTTTCGTTATCATCATGTAAATATTCTGATTTGGGGGGGGTGATGTTTCTTCTATGGACACATGCGGTGGTCAGTGGCTTACCTATTTGGAGGGCACAGTTCTAAAGTGTCTGTGGGTAGGTTTGGATATTTTGTAAGCTGTTTACATGCTGGATGGACACATATGTATATCGTTCTGGGAAAAGTCTCAATTGTTAAGTTGTTACCACTACTGTGGCTCCTGGTTCAGGTTTTCCTCTCTCTCCACTTAGGTGAGTACAAAGAGAAACATCTTGAAATCTGAGAACTAAGATGCAAGTACAAAAGGAGGTACCCATCCTGGCCCCCTTCGGATACACAGGGGATTCCGTGCTGCTGGAGTATGAAACAAACACTGAAATCTCCCGCCAGCTCTTCAGACAATTCCAGTACACAGCAGCAGCTGGGCCTCGGGAAGCTTTCACAAAACTGTGGGAGCTCTGCTGTGAATGGCTGAAACCGAAGATGCGTTCTGTGGAACAAATCCTGGAGATGCTTGTATTAGAGCAATTCCTAAGTATTCTGCCCAGCAACATTGAGACCTGGGTGAGAGCTCATGGCCCAGAAAATCAAGAAAGACTTTTTTCCCTTATAGAAGATTTACAAAATCAACATGGCAACAGAGATTACAAGGTGAGAAAAGTTTTGAGTTTTTGTTCTCAGACCAAAAAAGGCCCAAAGACTTCTGGGTCTAGAACAGATACTGTGTATCTGTGTCATTCCACATCCCCAAGACTTCTCTACTGTCTTTTCAATTTTCTTTTCAGTGGGTCAGTGTCTGTTAACCCTATCTGACCCTGTCCTCTCTCTGTCACACACATACTGCAGTATCTCCTCTGCTACCATTAAATGAAATTCACAGATGATGAAGCATTAATGTATTGTTCTATGGCCTGCAAGCCAATGCTATTAATGGCCTGTATATGTATATGCCTTGTAATCTCATAATTATTTTTTGTCAGTCATGGGGTTTTAACTCAGGGCCTACGTGCTGTCCCTAAGTATTTCTGTATAAACACATTGGAGTCTGCCTCATCCAATAGTATCATGAAGTGTTCACATGCTTGTGTCTTTGCTTTGAGTCACTGTGATAGATCACTACATCTCAAGCGCTATCAGCAATGTTATTGCTTATCATAAAATTTCTTAAAGTGGCAAAAAAAGTCTTGGTAAAAAGATAAAAAGGAGCAATAAATTCAGTTTTCCTCTGATTTGGACAGGATTGCATTCCTAGAAAATCTAAGTCATGCTAATAGGTACAAAAATGTTTTGTTTCTAACTGATCTATAGGATGTTGTTCTGGTAGGTCCTGTTTACTCATGTGAATGTTTGAAGAGAATTCCTCAATTGGTAGAGACCATGAGCAGCTCTGCCTTTTGAAGCTCTCATCTGCAACCCACTAAATTCCAGGAGCAATAGCTACCATAATATCCAAACTAGACTATGGTGGTGGTGACATTACCTTCTGTTCACAAAAGTTTCGTAAAACCTCTGTTTAATTGCTGGACACTGGTGGCTCACTCCTGTAATCCTAGCTACTGAAGAAGCTGAGATCTAGGGATCATGGTTTAAAGCTAGCCCAGACAAGAAAGTCCATGAGACTCTTATCTATAATTAACTACCAAAAAAAAAAACCTGGAAGAAGGATTATGGCTCAAGTGGTAGCATGGTAGGCTTGAGTACAAAAATTCAGGGATAGTACCCAGGTCCTGAGTTCAAGCCCCAGGTCCAGTACAAAAAAATTTACTTTCAGTGTGCCTAGACTTTGAAGTGATGGGTTCTGGTCTTTTCCCTAGATCAACATAGGTGACATGCTCCTTAAAGAACAGTCTGTATTGGAATCTGAATTCATCCCAGCCAACAGATGCATAGAACAACCTGTATTCCAGATAGTGGAATATGTCCAGGATCCTCCATTGACAGAGGCCAAGAAACAACAGGCAGAGCCACAGGAGCCAAACTGCAGTGCTGCTGGTGAATCCCAGACCATTGTGAATCCTGGTAAGGCAAGGGTTTACTTTCTGTGCTTTGTTTTTATTTGATAGCTCAAGAGCTCTAGGGGTTTAAATTGGGAAGAAAATTATCAGCTCTCCAGTCAAAATGGACCATTTGAAGAAAGGGGAGAAAGTGGAGAAAGAGGAGAAGGAGGAAAAAAATCTTTGGGAACACTAGCAAAGATTGGCACTCAGAAGTAGATGAATTATCAGCCTTATTCGAGAGACTTTTATTTTTTGTTACTTGTGGGGCTTGAACTCTGGGCCTGGGCACTGTTCCTGAGCTCTTCAGATCAAGGTGAGCGCTCTACCACTTGGGGCACAGTGTCTGGTGTCTGGTGGTTAAGTGGAGATAAGACTCTCACAGACTTTCCTGCCCGGGATGGCTTTGAACCACCATCCTTCGATTTCAGCCTCTTGAGTAGTTAGGATTATAGGCGTGAGCCACCAGCACCATACTCTCACTCTTTTTTTTCTTGCTATTTCTAGTGCATTCAGTAACACTGTTCTTGAATTATGTACCTCTTAGAAACTTGTGAAAGTCTTTGCAAGTTATTGATTTTCAAACTAGAACTGACTCCCAACCATTCCACAATTAGAGGATAAGGGTCTGCTATTGAGCACAAGGGGGTCCTCCCTTCATATTGCTTTTGATGGGCTCCCAGGGAAGCAATCCAAAATGAGAAAGAAGTAGATCCAGAAGGCATGTGTGCTAGAAGGTAGCCTCAATTCTGAGATAGCCAGTAGTGACTCAGGCTCTTCCCCTATTCCTTTCCCCTGGCCAGCACCTGCAACCCAGAAGCCAGACTGGAGTCTCCCACTAGAGAAAGGAGGACAGCTATGGATAGAAAACCTGACGGACTTGGAGACTGGTAAGTGAGGGGTGGCTGCAATGCCTCAGAAGAAAGAGGAGAAAATGTAGCTTTCCTCAGGGACAAGAAGGGTGGGGATGCCACCTTTCCTCTGGGCATGGGGTATAACTCTTCTTCTTCCCCTGAATCAGGGTGACATCTACCATTTCTATTTCTTTTCTTGGGTTTTGATTTGGGGAGGGGAAATGAAAAAAAAAGTCAAAGCAAAGGTCTAGAGTGGTGTGTGTGTGTGTGTGTGTGTGTGTGTGTGTGTGTGTGTGTGTGTGTGTACTTTGTTTCTGTAGATGGGAATTTCTGCCAAGGACCCAGCTCATCAAAACAATGTGGACAGCTGGATCTTCTCTGTGAAGAGCCCACAGAAGATATACGGACTGCTTGGGAATCATCTGTAGAGCTCCCTAGGCCCTGCTTAGGAAAGAGTGTCCAGAAAGAGAGATTTGTCAGCAAGAGAGTACCCAAACAGAAGGTTCTCAGGGAGAAACCCTACCACTGTTCTCAGTGTGGAAGGTGTTTTGTTCATGCTACGGAACTTGCTAATCACTTAATAATTCATGAAGATCTATTTTATGTGTGTAACACTTGTGGGAAAGGGTTTATTCACAAGTCAGAGCTGTGTGAGCATAAGTTCATTCACATAAAGGAGAGGCCCTATGAGTGTTCTGTGTGTAATGAGCGCTTTACACAGCAGGAACAACTAACCATGCACCAGAAAAGACATTTAGAAAGAAAACACTACCAATGCTCAGAGTGTCACAGGACTTTTTTACATAGGTCAAGTTTTTCAGAACATAAGAAAACTCACACAGGGGAAAAGTCTCACAGGTGCCTCACCTGTGGACGGACATTTCTTCGGCGGGCAACACTTACTCGGCACCAGGTTACACACACAACAGAAAAACCATTTCCATGTGAACTTTGTGAGAAAAGATATAGACACAAATCCAGCCTGAGGTTGCACAAAAAAACACACATGGGGAATATACCATTCAAGTGTAGCTGTTGTCCTAAAAAATTCCTAAAGAAATATGACCTTGTCCTGCACCTTGCTGCACACCTTAGGAACGGATTCTCTGCCAGTAACTCTTAAGGGCAGCCCTTGTGGTGGGTCTTGGAAGAACAGCTTTCTTTGAGCTCAGTGCACAGAGGCCTTTTACATTGTATTATTTTGAAAACTCACCTTCCTAGACAATCTGAATACAATGTAGTTATTGTTATTAAAACCCATACAAATTTGTTCCTCTCAGAGGTGGAGTCTCAATCCCAATAACCATTTGTTCTGCAGATACACACTGTTTGCACGCATAAAAGTCTAACCTGTGAAAGAAATGCCTCCTGTCGCAATTCCTACAGCTCCTTGTTTGAGCAGTGGGACCTTCAGTCATGGACCATGGTGACAAGCACTTTGCTTGACTCCTGCCACAGCACACAGCACAATTACTGGCTTCTGTGAGCCTCCGTGTGTCATTTGAGATTCAAATGTGGTTCCCTTTTGACATGTGGACCATTTCAAGGAAATAAAGCCCATTCATAAGTAAGATGAAGAGCAGCACACACCACCTGCCA